TCTTGCTATTCAAAAGACGAAAGCAAAAGGAGGCTATATTTTATTTAAAACAAAAACCGTAAAATGAATTAAAAAAGATAACATCTCAAAAGTCTGAAACCAACCCAACAATATAAAACCATAACTTGCTCTGCCCTCTTCTCTTCGATACTTCTCTCACACTAAACATATCTTTATTGCACTAACTTTGCTTCCTCCATTACTGTTTCTTCCTTTAAACTTCAAACAAAAAAAAAAACTTCAAAGTCTCAACTTTTTGTTTTCTGGGTAGAGAAAAGATTAAAACCAATTTCATATCAATCTTGAGAGGGGTTTAGGGTTTAAAGGTGGGCGGTTTTGTGATGCGTACAGGGGCTTATACCGTGCACCAGACACTAACACCAGAGGCTGCTTCAGCTCTGAAGCAATCTCTAACCTTAGCAAGAAGGAGAGGCCATTCTCAGGTCACTCCTCTTCACGTCGCTTCCACGCTTTTAACTTCCACAAGATCCAATCTTTTTCGAAGGGCATGTCTCAAATCTCATCCTTTCACAGCCTTGGGTCGTCAAATGGCTCACCCTTCTCTCCATTGTCGAGCTCTTGAGCTCTGTTTCAATGTTGCTCTCAACAGGCTTCCCACAAACCCAAACCCTCTGTTTCAGACGCAGCCTTCACTCTCCAACGCATTGGTCGCTGCTCTGAAGAGAGCACAGGCGCATCAGAGGAGAGGGTGTGTGGAGCAGCAGCAGAGCCAGCAGAACCAGCCGTTCTTGGCGGTTAAAGTCGAGCTCGAGCAGCTCGTTGTGTCGATTCTTGATGACCCTAGCGTGAGTAGAGTGATGAGAGAAGCTGGACTCTCTAGTGTTTCCGTGAAGAGTAACATAGAGGATGATTCCTCTGTTGTATCCCCTGTTTTCTACGGCTCTTCTTCTTCTGTTGGTGTCTTCTCTTCTCCTTGCTCTCCTTCTTCAAGTGAAAACAATCAAGGAGGAGGGACTTTAAGCCCTAACCCTAGTAAGATCTGGCATGCTCATTTGACCAATCATCATTCTTATGAGCAAAACCCTTTCTTCCATTTCCCTAAAGGAAAGATCATTAATCCAGATCAAGCTTTTCCTGTGAGAGAAGACGCAAACCCGGTCATCGAAGTGCTTCTAGGGAAGAAGAACAACAAGAAGAGGAACACAGTCATAGTTGGAGACTCTGTGTCTCTAACAGAAGGTGTGGTTGCAAAGCTCATGGGAAGAATTGAGAGAGGAGAAGTTCCAGATGATTTGAAACAAACCCATTTCATCAAGTTTCAGTTTTCACAAGTTGGGTTGAATTTCATGAAGAAGGAGGATATAGAGGGACAAGTTAAGGAACTGAAGAGAAAAATCGATTCTTTCACATCTTGGGGTGGCAGAGGTGTGATTGTTTGTCTCGGAGATCTTAATTGGGCAGTGTGGGGTGGCGGAAACGGCGCATCATCATCGAGTTACAACGCTACAGATCATCTAGTGGAAGAGATAGGGAGGTTGGTTTATGATTATAGCAACTCCGGAGCCAAAGTTTGGCTCTTGGGGACAGCTTCTTACCAAACGTACATGAGATGTCAAATGAAACAACCTCCACTTGATGTTCAATGGGCTCTTCAAGCTGTTTCAGTTCCTTCAGGAGGACTTTCACTAACCCTCCATGCTTCCAGGTTTGTCTCTTCTTCTTCATATTCTTTTTTTGTCTTATTCTTTCATGACCATTGAGAACCAACTCAAGTATTCGTATTGATACTAACTTATTTTTTTTTTCAGTGGTAACAGTTGTGAGATGGCTTCTCAAGTCATGGAGATGAAGCCATTTAGAGTTAAGGAAGAAGAAGAAGGAGCAAGAGAAGAAGAGGAAGAAGATAAGCTCAATTTTTGCGGAGAATGTGCTTCTAACTATGAGAAAGAAGCAAAAGCTTTTATATCATCTCAACACAAAATCTTACCTCCTTGGCTGCAACCTCATGGAGACAACAACAACATTAACCAAAAGGTATTAAATTTGTTGATAAATGATTTTTATTTTGTTTTTGCTATCAACATTTCTCCGGTTACTTAAACCGTTTTTCTTTTGTCGATTTAAGTTTCAGGATGAATTGAGTGGACTGAGGAAGAAGTGGAACCGGTTTTGTCAAGCTCTTCACCACAGAAAAACAAGTATGACTTCTCAAAGCTACGGTTGGAGAGCGGAACAGAGCAGCTCTGTTTTACCGGATTCAACAGCTACGATTTCTTTTGTGGACACGTCAGATACGAAGCAAAGCTCACGCTCATCTAGTTCGGTGGCTAAATTCAGAAGACAGAACTCGTGTACTATCGAGTTTAGTTTCGGAAGTGATCATCAAGAAGGTGTAAAGAAGAATCTAACCGATGAGATGAGTTTGGATGGATTCAAGATTAGCAATGACGAGGGTGTGGAAACCAAGATCACTCTTGCGCTTGGCCATTCTCCATTTCCATCTGATGGAGAGAACTCGGATGAAGAAGAAACAGAACCAACGACTACAATGAGCGATTTATCTGAAAAGCTTCACGAGAATATTCCATGGCAAAGCGAAGTTCTTCCTTCAGTCGTTGAAGCCATGGAAGAATCTTTAAAGAGGACTAAGAGGAGAGATGTTTGGATTCTGGTCTCGGGGAATGATGTGACTGCGAAGAGAAGATTGGCTCTCACAATCACAACTTCTCTTTTCGGGTCACTCGATAACATGTTGAAGATCAATCTTAGAACATCCAAGGCAAGTGAAGCGTGCATGGAGCTCGAGAACGCGTTGAGAGACCGAGCAAATGTTGTTGTTTTGATAGAGCGGGTTGATTTAGCCGATGTGGAGTTCATGAAGCACCTCGTGGATCAGTTCGAGGCCGGAAATTCTAGAGATTTGGATGAGTTTCAAGGAAAGAAGAGCCAAATGATCTTCCTTCTGACGAGAGAAGATGATGAACGTGTAGAGGACGAAGATTTTGTCATACCAATGGTGTTGAAGTGTAAGAAATCAAGTTCTGGTTTGGTCAACCACAAGAGAAAACCAGAATTCGACGCCGCACCGATCAAGATAAAGAATCCTAGAATCCAAGAGGAGGAGGAGGACAAGGACAGTGTTGCTTGTGACGTAAGCAACATCAAGAACGAGTTCTCAAGACAGCTGAGCTTCGGATCCAATGCTCTTGACCTCAACTTAAAAGTTGATGCCGAGGAAGAAGAAGATAAACCGGCCACTGAAATCTCAAGCGGATTTGGAGAACGTTTTCTTGATTCGATCAAGAACCGGTTTGATTTCACAGTTTTGTCTAATGGCGCAGATATAACTAAGTTTTTCGTGGCGAAGATCAAAGACTCGTGCGAGGAGATTCTCGGGCAACGGGAAGAGAGATTCGGGTTTACAGTCGATGAGGACTTGATCGACAAGTTTTACAAAGGGTGTGGGTTTTTTGCTAACGGTTTGTTCGAAGAGTGGGTGAAAGAGGTTTTTCAAACGGGTTTAGAAACGGTCAAAAACGGCGGGAAAGAGGGCATAAGTGTAATTAACCTATGTTTGGGGGGTATAGATATGATTGACCAAGGGGAGGAGGTATACGAGGAGGAAGAAGGATTCATGGGTACTTGTCTACCAAACAGAATCCAAGTTTCCTTTGTTGATTAGCTTTGGCCTTAGTTGCTGTTTAAAAAAAAAAAAAATTATTAGAATCATATATATATTACGTATTTTGCTGTTATTTATTTATTTCACTTTACAAGAAGGAATTAATTATGAGCCAAGAAAAGTGGAACTTGACCACATTGTTCTTTGTGTAAACATAAGCTGCCTCACTTCATCAAAGAATGTGCTTTTTCTATTGCTTTTTTGAATAGTGTTATCTTTTTCACTCCATTATCTTTCGTATACATTTTAATCATTTATTTTTCACTGTTATATTTTTTTTATTTATTATGTAAAGTCGTATGAATCTTCAATCTATGATGGTACATCGTTTGAGGTACTACATATGAGCACTCATATTCTTTACTTCTTTGCCATTATCTTCTTAATTAGATCGGCACTTCGAAAGTTCGAATCATAGATATATTAGAATATAAATAACATATATTTTCCCAATAAAACAAACTTACACATGCAATTTGGTTACATTCGCGTCAACATTCAATTTACACATGGAATTTGGTTACATTTCTAGGAATTTCGTCTTACTTTTGGTCTATAAGCTTTAATTACATAAAAAAATAATGTAGTACAAAAAAACACTATGATACGGCACAGATAATTATTTTCCACTTACAATAATAAGTGTTATTATTGTCTCAAATAACTATTTTGAGTGACAATGTATATCTAAATTTCTTTGAATGGATTAATATATCCATAGTTGAGAGATAAGGTTTCGTGTGGATCCTGAATATATCATTTGTCATATCGTAGTGGAAAAGTCATTATGCCAAAGAGTGGCTCAAGACAGTGCTGACTGAATGCCAATATATATATAAATATATAAACTTTAGAAGTTGCTCTTAGAGCATGTTTATTGGTGTTACTTACATAGTTTTCTAGGGAATCTTGTTAAAACAATAAATCAAAAATGCCTAATTAAAGAGAAAACGTCTCTTATATTAGAGCGTCTTGAAAGAAATAAGCGACGTTTTTTAGAGACACGTGGCAACTTCTGAAGCAAATTTTTGTTTTTCTTCATTTCGCAAATTCGCCTCTCTTTCTTTCTTCTTACCCACTTTGAGGCCATTCGGTTCCTCTTTGATTCTTCTTCGGTGGAAGAAGGAGGAAGAAGCAAAAGCTCGAGGTGGGAATTTCGATTTCAGGGTTTTTTGCCCTTTTCTTATCTCGTGCGTTATCATCGGTGTTATTTTGATTCTTCGGCGAAGTCCCGGAATACTCTGCGATCTCAGGGAGATTGGATTTTTCTTAATTTTCATCAACGCGCGCGCGATGATCTCGTCGAAAAACGGAGCTGCGATGATCTCTCGGCCTGTGTTCCTTTCGGATCGAGTTGATGAAGTTTTCTCCAGAAAGCTTGATTTGTCGGCTTCTTCTTCTTCGAGTCTCCTCACGCACTTCAATAAGTCTCATGATCCGTCTACTGAAATGCGCTAACGAAGCCGTGAGTTACCTTTGTGCTTTCATGCATTATTCACAAAGAAGCTGCAATCTTTAAGCTTCCTTTCTACCTTGCTCTGCTCTTAATTGTTTGTTTTTTTGGCTGTGTAAATGGATAGTTGTTTGCGGAAGATGTGTATCTTTCTTATCTTCCTCTTGCCCACATCTCTGACCGAGTTATCGAGAAGTGTTTTATTCAACACGGTGCTGAAATTGGCTTATTATTTGAACTCGTTTTGAATTTGTTACTTTAACTTTCTCTGGGTTCTCCTCAGGATGTCAAATTGTTGATAGAAGACCTTGGTGAGCTAAAACGAACAATATTTTAAGATGTTTAGAAAGAGTATACTTAGGTAAGATGTTATTCTCAGTTCTACAAGAATATTTATGATAAGATTTCATTATTCCTTCTTTGGTTGATGTCTCATTTCCCGTTAGTATAGCTTCTCTCACACTTACGTTGACTGCTTGCTTGTGTTGATAGCGAGTTTATTTTTTGTGTCTCCTTTCATATTGGTGCTCAATCTCCTCTCAACTCCATTTCTTTTTCTTGTTAGTCTGACTTCCTAAATTGTAATTTTTCTCTTCTCAGGTTTCAAAACTGCAGCTGTCTTCGTCGTCTCCATCAGCAAAAATGGCACAACAACCTGTAACGAAAGAGCACACATTATCTGTCCCTGACTGGTCTCTTCTCCCTCAAGAGCTACTGCAGATTATCTCCTTGAAGGTAGAGTACTTTTTTGATGCTATTTCTTACAGCCTCGATTGGTTGCAAGATCCAAAGTACTAACTGTTTATGCTCAGTTGATTACTGTCTTTAGACCAATCATTTGATGTCCTGATTAAAACCAGCTCGGGTTTCAAAATATCTGCAGGTGCGTCTTGTTTCTTTCTCTGCTTTCATGAAATCATCTCTCTGATCACATGAAACCTTGTTCAAATTGCAGAAATATAAACCTGGATACAGCTCTACGACAATTGTTTCACTAGACAGGAATCTCTATGGACTTCACGTAGTCTTGTTCTTCATTTATTTTTGTTAGTCCTCTTGCATAATGTAATCTCTACTGAGAATCGTAATTATCTTGCTAGTATGTTTTCTTCTCTATGTTCTAGAATCTTGAGAACATACATAGATCCAAAAGATATGAATTATGATTACACAATGATATGTTTCATCTTCTTGTATAGTTTATCTTTTTGCTGTTGTTACGCCGCCATTCTCTTCCGGTCTTAAATCTGCTTATGGTAAACTTTATTCACAAAAAGAAAAAATTAAGAACTTCTAAGAAACTTACCAATAATGGTGCAAAAATATTTGTCTCTTAATAATGTCTCTTAAAATAAGTTTATTGATATAAAAATAGTTAAGAGACATTTTGAGTCTTACCAATAAACATGCTCTAAGTAATTATAACAACACTAAGACAGTAGACATCCTTACATTGCATGCCCATGTAATCCTCCATTACGAATCAACAATATTATATAGTAATGGTCTAGTGGACAACATATGCCTACAGAATGCATTATCGATTATGTATATATTAGGCATACCAATTGTCATAATAATGATTAGCATTTCAATTTAGTTGATAAATTTAGGTTTAGTTTATTTATAGACCTCATAGACCTTTCATGCAGTGCACTATATAACAACTTCATCAGATAGTATTTAGTCCTTTTACATCTATCTATATGGTAACTAATAATATAAGACTAGTGTCGACAAAAAAAAAAAAGAATGACTAATGTTGTAGCATCAGCATGTGAAGTATTTCAACTTTTTAGTGAATTCAGTGATAGACTGATGTTAAATGGTGTAGTCGGGACCACCAGTTTCACTCGGACTTAGTTACATTTATATGCTTTTCGTTACTACAGTTTTTTTATTTCTAGCATTATAAAACTTATAAGTTAATTAGTACATCTTATATCATACTTTTTTTTTGTTTTTGGAAGAAACTATGCTTGATTTAAATAAAGAGTGCTCAATCTCCATCACTGGTGGAAGAATTACCGTAGACTTAGCTAGGGCATCGGCCTCAGAGTTTTCCGCTCGAGGTACAAAACGAAAGGAGATAGATAAAAATGAAGCCAGAAGGGACCTAAAGTCTAACAAAAGGCCTTGAACTTCAGATGAGGGGCCACCGGAGTTGAAGAGGAGCTAATGATATCTCTAATTAATTCACTTAAAAGACTGATCTCGACAAAAAATTACGTATATGACAAATGATCTCTATCATTTTCATAAGGCCACATTGATTAACTGCTGTAGCTAATGTAACCACATCGCGTTGGATATGTCAATTTTGTTTTGAGGGAAAGATCTCTTCTTCCTCGGAATCAACTCTTAAGTCGAGGTCAAGAGCAAAATTGTATGTTTTAAGCTCTGCCTTTGCATTTGCAAAAGTACTATCTTTGCATTTCATGTGTCTGAGCAAGCTGTTTGTCGCAGGTTCACAAAAACTCTTCTAAGACTACTCCATTCCTAATGTCGGGCTGCAAAGTTGCAGATGGCCATGGCACGTACAATGTCATTTAAAATATCATTTCTTATTAATATATGAAGTAGAAGCTAGAACAACCACAGGGAAATTGCGTTACCAGAGTGCAAGTAACTCAAGAAGATGATGACATCAACAGTTTTGCATTGCAAACATTAAGGTAAAATATGCATCCCAGTAGAACGAGTACAAAGAGAAACACAACATCGTGCATATATAAAACATGATAAAAGTTTTAAGTAAATAGCGATTCATAATTATAACAGACCAGATCAATGTCTGTCTATTCTTATTCTTCTTCTTCTTCTTCTCGAGTTCCGTCTGTCACTTCGAGATACATGTGCTCTGGTTTACCATCCATGGTTTTCCTTATAATGGCTTTGTGATCACCAGGCCAACCTGTTGAAGGATCATCGTCAATACACTTGTAACTTACGTAGTAGATTGCGTTTCCCGCCTTGAGCGCCTCTGTTGTGTCTCCTTCTTTAGTTTCAATGACCACCTTCTTCATCTCCAAGGGAGTGTAAGCCTCCGCTGTCTGCAAAAAGAAAAAGTTCACTTTCTCTTTCTTTTAGTTTTGGCAGAGAATACATTGCAGTTTTAAAGACTTACGCGCTTTGTTTTCCCGTAGAAGGCAATTTCCGTGAATAGATGAAGCCAGTCATTCTCCTGCAGCTCTGATTCTTTCACCTGTCCAGAAATTGTATTTTCCCGTAGTGGACGTGATCTTACCACGTAATACTTTTTATTGTCACGGGCCAAGTCCTCATCAGACAACCATTTGCGCATCGGACCTTTGTAGAAGCCATCTACTCCCGTATCGTCCCATTCATCATCATCCACTGCTTTGTTACCTATAAAAGTGTTGTCTATAAACAGTGAGTCCTATATTGCGCTGTATAAACCCGATCTCTCCCAACGTACGATCATTAGAGAGATAAAGTTAAAGACAAGCCAACAAGCGAATGGTAATATAATTCCTATTTACGTACGTACATTTGATTCTGGAGGCTAAGATCATCCACTTAATGATTTTGTTTGAATACGGAACATTGCGTAATAGCGTCTGAAAAGAGATGTCCGAGTCAGAGGACGTATCCTTTGCCTCCAGAGTTACGTAGTAGTCCATGTATGCAGTATATGCACTCCTATATTTTTCCCAGCGCACAAACTTGAAGTTTGTTCCCTGTCAAAGCAAAAAAAAGTAATCACAGCAAGAACAACAAGTCCATAAAAACTGAAAAACTTGAACATTGTGAAGTTTAATCTACCTTTTGAATATTGTGGCAGTGGAGTCCAAGCCTAGAATAAAGGGCGATATCATAACTATCGCCCCACTCAGACTCAACTAGTGTATATGGAGGAAGATAGAATTCCACATCAAACTCCTAAAAAACGAAGAAAGTATCATCATCATCATGACATGGTCCCAGAAAAATCTCAGAAAACATGAGGAAACAGAATAAGGAAATTTCGGAGAGATGATTACAAAGGACAAGCGATGATTCTTCATCAAATGGTAGGGATCGTTTACAGCATCAAAATCATCATCCAAACCATAAAGCTTTCGCTTAGGGTTTCTCTTTTCCCTTCGATATCGCAGCACTGACTCTGCCGCTATTGGATTTCGAATCCTTGTCCCTGGTCCTCTTGATTCTGGTTCGGCCATACCCTTAAATCTCTCCCCTCTCAGATCTCAGATCTCAAATTTCAGAATATCCGTTCGACAATCTGTTCGACGCTCTATATGTCAAAAAAAAAAAAAAAAAGGCCGTTTAAGCCCACGGAATGGTAGCCCTTATCCCTATTAGAGACTTATGCGAGAACCGATCGCTCATTTGATAATCGTCTCCTGCGATCAAAGTTTAGGGTTCGACGAGAGATATGGGGAGGAGCATTGTGGACGAGGAAATTGGGAGTGCAGCTTCGGATGATGGTTTTGAGGAACTCCGTCAACTGGTAAATCATTTGACTCCCTTCTTCAATATTCTGAATTTTCTTCATAATTCAATCATGTTAGGGCCCGTCTGTAGAAGTCGACGCTTATTTGAGCATTACAAGCGTTGGTGCTCGTTGCCACGTGGCAAAATATGATTGGATGTTGTTTCATTTTTCTCTTTCCGTTCTCTCTCCTCCCTCACTCTTCTCCGTTGCTCTTCACCGACGATTTGAGAGTTTAGACCGAACAAGTTTTCGCTCAAATTAAATCCAACCAGTTAACAATGAATGGTCTAGCTCCGGCAGAGGATCGGTCTGAGATTGCCTTCTTCGACGTCGAGACTACAATTCCGTTTCGAGCTGGCCAAAAGTTTGAGATTCTGGAGTTCGGATCGATCCTCTTTGCCCCAAGAAGGTAGTGGAGCTTGGAAGCTACACAGCCCTTGTTCGACCCACTAATCTCAGCTACATCACGCCTCGGTCTGTGAAGTGCAACGGTATCAAGCGAGAGGACGTCGAATCGAAACCTTCGTTTGCATATATCGCCGGCATCGTCTATGATATTCTTCATGATAGGAACTTTCGTCACTCTTCCTCCTCTAACCCCTTCTTTTTTAAATTACTCCGTTTTTGCTTGGTTTGTGTTCAAGCTGAATTGAAACTTGATCCGAAAGTTCTGCTCTTTAGATGAAAATGTTAAAAAGTCGAGCTTTTGTTTAGTTGTATTGATGTTTTCTTTGTTGGTTTATAATGTAGGAAGGATATGGGCAGGGCACAACATATTAAGGAAATTTGGTTTACCTTTGATCAAACTCGTGGATGGTATGTTAAATTTGTATATGTAAAATCATCTTTAGCTGAGATGGTCTGTTAAACTTGCATATGTTAAGCTGAATGTAAGATCTCTTGTGCCGTGCAATGATACTCTGAAGTATGCGTCTCTAAAATCAGAACCAGATTTCAGGTTGGTTAAGTTTTCTTCCTGTGTGAATCGGTTTGAAAGATACAGAGATTGATGTGAATGGAGATGGTATGAATCATAGCTGATTGCCTTTTCTATTGTCAGTTTATTGGAATCTTATATCGGTTATCGGTGCTGTACTATTAAGGATACATATTGCTTTTGTTCATGATGCATGTGATGTTTTGGTGATCTTGGATCTACGAGCAGATGATTTGTTCTGCAGCAGGTGTTGCTCGTGAGGTAAATAATATATTGATGCATGAGTAGTAGATATGAAACCGTAGGAATACATTTTCTTATAAGAAGTGTTATCATAAAACTTTCATGTTCTATCTGCTCATGAGCTTTCTTTCCGTGTTTCATTTCCTATGGTTGCCAATTATTACATGGTTTATAAATCTAGTAACTTGCTTGGGTCTTATAAACGTTTTTGATTTGATCTAATTGAATCTGTGGTTTGCTTTCCTTGAAAACTCACATTGATATCACTTTCCAACATGTTGTTAAATGAAATGCATTGTTTGAAGAGAATATCTGATCGTTTCTTCTTTTGTTGTGGGCAGGAACAATACATTAGGGACATCAACGGTTCTGACCGGCTTTGAAGTTCAACGAAGAGGCTATTTTTGGTTCATACTCAGATGATCTTGAGACTTGGTTAGAAGATGTTTTTATTTCTGTTTATGTTTTTGAATCTTATGTTTAAAATGTTTGTATGTTTCATATTTCAATTATGTAATGTATTTTATGTTTTGTTCATTAAGAAAATTAAAGTTCAAATGAAAATTTCATTTTTTTTTTCTTAAGCACCTCAAAATAAGATTTTCCCATTAGAGCAGAAAAAAACAGACAATTCTTAATAAAGGTGCTAACACACTTTTAATAATAAGACAAAATTTTAAGCACCTCTACAAGCACTCTCCATTATACATGCTCTTAAGTGGTCATATTTGAATACAGAGTTCCTAGAAGTAGGACCACGATAAACTCATAAACTTTTTACATAATAGTAAAACATTCATAGTTATAATTCGGTTGTATAATATAAGAAACAAAAAAATACTGTGAATATGTGAACTTAATTACATCTTTATTGCCTGTAAATTCAGGGTCGTAGATAGCAAGGCTTCCAAGAACAGTTTGGATTTTTAAGTAGCGAAACAACTTGTTTACATCCGTAAAGGTTCTTACATCATTTAGGACGTGATACACCTCGACGTCATGCAGTCAACTTTTTTTGGCAGCCCATAGAACATTGCAAATTCCAAACCTTTAGCGGTAGCAATGCATGTAGTATCTTTGCGATGCATGTAGAGGATCAGGCAAATCCGACATATACTGACCAGAGTATAGTGTGATCTTCTCATCGATACGGTGAATGTAGCATACATCACTTATATGCTCAACACCCATGACCGACCAACAATTGACTACAATTTTGATTAAAGTGTTTTTTTCATAATGAAAACAAAAATATTAGAAAAACGAATGGGAATTGAATATAATTTACTATGGGGTCCTTGGTCTTGTACTGGAATCTTTAAAGTTAAACAGATAACTGGTGACAGAAATTTACCGTGTGCTTTCTTAGTGCAGAAATGATATAGATGTCCTTCATCCGGACGCAATTCAATTATTTCTAGCAGAAATGGGTCTACCTCTACGGGTAGTTCACAGAGATATTTAAGAACATCTTTAGGCAAAGGCTGATGAGGGATGTGTATCAAAATAAGTCCATTGTTAAAACCAAACATGTATTCTAAATACAAGTATAAAGCAATATTAGAAAACTATTATTCTTTGATCCATGTTTAAAAGCTTTCAGAAAAGTGAGGACATGTCTAATAATATAATAAACATCTTAGTTCAAATTTTAATTGCAAAACTCACTGAACATTAGGAAAGTAAAATCATAATGTATATTTAGCAAAACAAAAATAAAAAAAAGGAAAAGATTGATTTCGTTCACAAACAAGAAATTTAGCTCTACGCAAAGGGTTGTTGCAGCCAAGGTTTCTCCAGTGCGAATGAAGATTCAGACCTTATTTCGTTTCCATGAAAGGAGAAGTCAGAAGTGGTAGAGACTATGGATGTGAATGAAGCATATATATGAGTTGTTTAAGCATCAAACTGTTTGGTAGGAGAAAGACCGCAAGTGTTCAGTCCAGAGATTGATCGTGTTGGAGACGTAAGTGCTGTTACTCAAATTCAAATTAAAAAACAAAAACAGAGATTCTATGACATTATATATGATCTTGTTTTGATGTAGGGAGTTTGCCTTGGGCCGTCATGTCACGAAACTCGCTATGCTGGACACTTAGAGATGTGATCATATATGGAGAGCCAAGGAAGTGGAAGGACACACTGTTGCGGTAGTGAAGATGTACTACAACAAACAAGGTTACAAGTATCAAAATGTCTCTGGACTTTATGTTTGTCCAACTATCAAATGCTGGTGGCTCTGTGCTCGACGAAACTGTATCAAAGCCAGGACATCTTATCATTGAATATTGTGTCCCACGCTTATCCACCAAGTAAAATAAGAGCTTAGAGCTTTTGGTAGTAATTAGAAACTAAACAGTATGCTAAACTAGGAATGTTTGTGGAACTTGTTTGTGATTTGAAGTTAACATTATGTTTTAGGAGACTAATTTATGTAAGTTGACAATTTAAGTATCTAAAAAAAGTATGTTTTAAGAGTCTTTTTGGCAAATGCCGCAAATCCAAAACAATCAAGCAAATCAAACTTGCATGTTTTTGTGGCAAAAACCACGTCGTTCTAAGGCTAAACATTTGAAGTCTCGAAAACGATGCCGTTTAAGACCTTAACATTTGCATGTTTCTGTTATCACAATCGTTCAAAGGAATAATAGTCTCTCATTTCATTTCTTTAAAACCTGAGAAGAGATTAATTAACCTCCTCTGTTTGTCGACTTCAAATGAGGAAAGTGAAACGCTAAAACGACAGAGTTTTCTTTCCCATCATCTTCTCCTTTTGTTTCGTCGACTTAAGTTTTTGTTCCCATCTCTTAATTGTTTGTATTTATGTTCGAAAATACATGGTTAATGTTTAATGAAAGCTGTCACATACATATATTATCAACAGATAGTTCTAAACCTTAAAAAATGATTTCCAAGACTCAAAAGATTTTTGTAATATATAATATTATATGTATCGTTGAAGAGTATGCCACGTAACCCCTCCTTCCATCCTCTATAAATATCATTGTCGTTGTACTCATAAACCAAAACCAAAACTAAACATCTTCCCACTTTAAAAGTTTTTCCCCTTTCTGGTAATAAATATTACATTTTCTTCTTCTTGTTCTTGATACTTCTAGGTTTTTCCTACCAGAAATAAGAGAGATAAGCCCACAAGCAAATTTATATATAGAACCAAAAGGGTTCTGAGAATTGAAGTAAAGAAAAAGAGAAGCAAAAATGTGTTTGGAGGTCGTGTATCACGAGGAGAATACGGAGCTTGGTCGGCAACAAGCACCGGGTGTGTGTCCATACTGCGGCGGAAAAGTGGCGGCGGTGGACGTCGAGACGAAGTGGTTGCTCTGCTTCTTGCCACTCTGTTGCAAGGTCAAACGCAAGTACTCTTGTTCTTCCTGCGACCGTCGTCTCGTCTTGTATTATTGAAACACAAGAAGAAAAAAGAAGAGAGAGCAAATGAAGAACAGAGGCCATGGAAGTTTGAAACTGTTATTTATTTATTTAATTGTTTGCTTTGCTCCTCTCAATGTTGAGGTTTTTGCAGATTTGCCTGTAATTTCTGATTTGATTGAATCGCCCCTCGTGGTGGTGAGACATTGGTCAATTTCATTAAATAATTCGTTTGTTTTTTTTTATTCACGTTCGAGATCTTTTGTTCAGTGTAAATAATATGTTTGTTCTGTTTCGTTAATTACACGAGTGGAACTACATTTTGTGTAATAAAGATTGTCATTCTTAATTGAATTTGTTTACTATTTTTTTTTTTTTTTTTTTTTTTTGCTTTATTCATTTCAGTGAATAATAATCAATAGCCAGTTAGGGATAATAACCTGAACCTGAAGTAACAACCTGGAACAACAAATGATTAAACACCATGATATTAAGTTATAGAAATTGTGGAGACGAACGAACATAGGAAAAATTGGAGGACTGTAGAAGTAAAAATAAACAATGTTACTGCAAGATTCAACATAAAATATATCAGATAAGTAATTTTTAAAAAAATGAAAATAATCTTTTATATGAGTGATTGATACGAGCGTTACTGTATAAGAATGATGCCAAAGTTTTGCTGTACGTCTTAGCTGGACTGACATGATATAGACAAAAAAACGAAGAAGAAAATGTTGTGGACCTAAGAGTTGCAATAAAATATATGTATCGCTAACGTTCACTTGTTTAAGAGAATATTTGTGTGTCCACAAAAGGTAAAGAAATGAATCTTCTCATACTAATTAGTCGGCTCCGTTGCATATTCGAGTATCTTTCACTTTGATTCCATTTCGCTTGGGTTTTTTCAAAGCACAATCAATCTCAAACGAATCCTTTAGAGAGACTATTATCATCTCTAACGTTCGGTTGAAAATATAGCGCGAAAGACTAGAAGT